GCAGCTCATTTACATATTTAAAGCTACAGACACAGAAACAGCCTGTTCTGAGCAGGGCTTAAATAGAGGGGTTTATAGGCATGATCAAAACAGGATCAGAGTGGATTTAGAACAAGAAACTTCACAGACATGTTTTGGGGAGCTCTGAGACTCATTTAAACTGGTTGAAAATGAGGATAATATGTGACCTTTAATAAGAACAATATTTCAACTTTCAGTTAAAGAGTTAAAAATTATATATTTCCAAAGAAAACACATTTGACCAGTTTGTTTTCTTTGGGGGGGGGGGCCAGGCCGGACCACAGCCTCCGTATATGAGGCAGGCACTAACCACTAGGCTGCCGGCGCCCCATGCATTTAGTTAGAACGTAATGAAAAGAATCAGTTGATATTCAAAAACTGCTTAAATTAATACTAAAAATATGTTTTAATACAATTTATAAAATGCTCTTTGACTCGCTATAGAGAGAGAGAAGTACAGATTTTAGGGTTAGGCCAAATAATAAAACTGCTTTTTATTTTATTTTCAGATCAGGAAAAATCCAAAAGGAAGCAAAGATCAGACAGACTGACAATATTTGTTATTCTTTATGCTTGAATGGGTTTATTTTGATCCAAAGTTTACAGGTTTAGACTAAGTTAGGCTCACATCTTTAATGCTTCTTTCTTATGATTGTATTAAAACAGTCATGTGTATAATGAAGTGTGGTTCAGGATTAAAAGCAGGGCCCATCCTATAAATATAGCTATGTCAAGTGTTAATTAATGTTTGTCAATGTGTCACAGAGTTTTTGACAAGGCTGCACCTATGTACTTTATCACTTCATTACGAGATGACACCAAGGTGAAGCATGCAAAACACAAGAAGCTCTTCTGTTGTGTAGATCGTTTGTTGTTTTCTCTCACTTTGTTTAAAGGATGATCATCAACGAATGTCTGAGCTCATGTCTAACTTGTTTTCATTCTCAGGATTAATTAGGTTTATTTAGACATCTTACTGTGGTTGGCAGTAACATTTCTGACAAATATCAAATATAAAAGAATCACTTCAAAATTGTTTTTCTTGGAAGTTAAACCTTTATTTGGATCAATTTAGGTCTTAGAAAACAAGTTCCTTTGGTCTTAAATGTTAAAATCACTGTTTAGGACCTAGAAAACCCTGTTCTTAATTCTCTGACTTTGGACTGCACTGCTGGTCCAAATGTTTCCAGCACGTAGGAGACAATCTTATTTTTGGGATTACAGTTGAATATAAAAATTTTTGGAAGGACAAATAAAGGTGTGTGGCTATTTGAGTGCATGCATGCCTCTGTTTTTTTGCACTTTCCTTCTCCGATGCTACAAATACAGACACCTTTTTGTCCTTTAATATCCCGCTTCTGATCTGACGGGCAGCCTTGTGTAAACTCTTTAATTCTGTGATTCATCTGCCTCCTCCGTCTCGCACTGCGACAGGCAGCAGTCTGATACCGCCGGTAATGTCTTTCAGCGAGAATTTATGCCTACATCCATGCCTCTCCTCTCCTGTCTGCCACTCTAGCCATTAGAGAATTCCCCAGCAAAGGTTCTCTGGAACGCCTTGCATCAGAGCCACACTAATGAAAGGCATTATACATTACAAAGTGTTTGATTTAAGGATGATTTACAGTCCTTTCCCTCTGCAGTGAGGAACAGAAACCTTCCTCCAGATAAGCCCCGGATCCAACCACGATATTCAAAGGACATCAAAGGGTTCAAATTGTGTATAGGAGGTGTCACTGTAAGAACCACAAAGAAAGGTTTCTATCAGATCGGAAATTTCCATAACAGAGTGAGAGCCTTGTGAGTTATTATGATCCCAGAATCAATGGCAGCTTTCATGATATGCACCCGAGCATGCACACGCTGCATGTCTGGCTGCCGGCATTCGAGTCTACCTGTCCCTGATCTGTCGCTGACACAAACATCACTTCTGTCTGTATTTACAGATATCCCCGGCGGTCTCCAACTAGAGCATTTCTGCATCGCACACAAATTTCCCCTCGCGCTGCAAAGCCAAGCAGTAAACAAACAACAACTAAAAAAACATACTTTGTGATTACTTTTGCTGATGAAAGAGGAACTATTTTAATTTTGTTTAGACACAGAGTAAAATATTCATGAATCTTTCACCCCGCCTGCCAGTTTTAATAATTGGCAGGATGTCGTTTACCACCTACACCAACCCCTAATACCTGACAGCTCGTAACCAGCAGCATTTAATCACAGCTGACAACTGATAATCCATGTCTGGGCACTGATGGATCAGTGGCTTTCATTTTCTTCTTCTTCTTCGTCTTCATCCTCGCCCCTTTTTAATTTTTTTAAATATTTTAATTCTGTTTTTGTCTCGATGTGAGACGCAGAGATGTTTGGGCCTGGGAAATGTGATAATTTAGCGTGAATTGCTTTTAAGATTTTCTTGGATCCGGTCCATGGGTGTGAGTTGTCACAAGGTTGAGTTTTTAGATCTGCTACAAAAGGATTCTGCAGGTTTGATCTAAATTTACAAGGACACTTCTGCAGTAACAGCCACTTTGATGGTCGTCTTGGTGGCTATCATTTGTCGCCCATATGGCATGTTTGTGTGTGATATGCTTCTCCTGTACAGCGTGTGCAAGTCTTTTCTCTTTTCTTGTCTTTTCTTTTTGCTGCTGCTGCTGCACAGAAGGCGCTGAAATTAAAGCTCAGTGTGGTTTTTTTTTCGTCTGAAAAAAGATAACTTGATTTTCAGAAAACATGTTTGTATGAATAAAAAAGTCATTACAGCTCACGCTGGTGGGTGTAAATAAATTGGTTTATTTGGTAATTTGATTTCCTGCATTATTTATAGTTTTCAACACTGCTGTAAAATAAAAGGAGTCAGATGCTGTTTAGTCGGGGGGTTCAGAGGCAAAATAAAGTGGGCCGAAACAAATAGCATTCACTTGTTTAACTCTTGGAAATGAACGCTTGTCTTGCATCGCCTCAAGCAAGAGCGGTTCTTATCATGAGTCATTTTATAATGAAGTCGGAGTGCCTGCTTGAATAACATGTGCATTTAGTTGGCGCGCATTAGTGATACTACACTCAAAGCGCTGACCTGCCGCTGAATACATCTCCTGTTGGGTGATCGATACAGGCAGGTAGATACAACTCTGGACGAGATTTTACAGCCAGAAGACTGATTCTAATAATAGTTCATCCTCTGATATCTTCTCAACCTTTCACTGGAGAACATTTCCAAATGGAATATTCTGTTGGAAAAGTGAGTCGTACTGAACTTAACTAATTGCACCATCCAGCACTTGGTTGGAGTATGTTACATTTGAAAGCACTTTTCAGATCCAGACCTTTTCAGGTGATTTAATTTTAGGAGATTGTTTTAAAGCTCCTGTGAGGATTTTTTTTTCTGGTTATGAAACGGACTGAAATTAAAACTGATGCCTTCAGTGACCTACAAAAGCAAAAGAGACCATCAGAGACAAGACTGACTGATTCTGTTCAGATATTTTCAAAGCCTGTAGCCGCTGTCTCCAGGTAGGTGTCGGAAAAAGTGAGAAACAGCCTTTGTTCATATTTTTACATTTTCCACAGAAAAACACAACACTACTAATGCATGTTGAGACAGGATCAACAAAAGCATAGATGGTTATTTAAGTTAATCAAAAGGCTGTGGCACACTGAAAATAACTTATTTTCAGCCACAGACTATTGATGTATTTTTCGTGGTATGTTCCTGCACCCGTGTGCACCTGAGATCGTGTTTAGGCTGTGCACGGGGTATCCTGTTGGCCATTTAGAGAAGACAGGATGGCTTTGTCCACAGGGGGCGCCAAAATCAACTCAAAGTGAAAGTTCCTCTCAGGAGCATTAAAATTGTTTTTTTTATTTCATTATTTATTTTAGACCTTTATAATGAAACAAAACATCAAACATAGGTATTACTACTATTATGTATTAATGAGTTAATTATGAGGTTATAATGACAATGATTCATTAATCATTAATTTAATCCAAATGCATGCTACTTAACAGCTGTGAAAATTGAAATTTGAATCTTAAATTTGATCCTTGTGGTTGATTTAGATCATTCCCTCAAAGATTTGTCCAAATTTAAGTATAGTGGAAATAATTCAGTAAATAATTTTTTTTTTGAAGCATAAAAAAAGGAAATCTATGCCAAAATATTTCCTTTTTATAGAATCAGAAGGATTGATCTATTTCTTTAAAGATTGAACTGCAAATTGTGTATTTATTTTGTATGGCTTTGTTTCATTTTCTTTATAAATATGTCTTTTAACAAACGATCTTCTCCTCATATGATATGTCCGTTTTTTATTCCCTCTTGTCTACTGTAATCAGATATCCCTATACACTGTTATGCCTTTCTGGCTGCCGTTCATAATTACAAAACTATGGAAATATTACCTTGAAAATGATACATGTAATATAATACGATAGGACACACTTTATTATTATTGGATTATTATTGTGCTCTGGGGGTTGGGGTTTCTCCGATGGATGTCGTAGTCTAGGAGCTCCTACTGGGACAACAGTTGCTGGACAGGATTTGATCGGGAGAAATCACTTCCCAAAAGCAAACACTTCATCCCTAAGAGGGTGCCAAGCTCTGCCAAATAAGCACTTAACTGTTCTCTGGAGAGAAATGACACTTAAACACAGCCAAACATCATAAAACAAATCTTTCTCCATCAATCAGGATCAAGTTGATTTTCTCTGGTTCCCTCTCACTGTTGGTGGCCTTTTAAGAAAGATTTATGTCTCAGTTTATATAAATCTATGTCACAGATGCATATGCAAAGGCTTGACGACAGCGCTGTCCTTAAACTGATACCAAAGCTCTCACTGACTGCACACATTCAACAATTAACAGCTTCACTTAACACCTAATCAGCCTGTGAGATTGGATCAAGATCAGCAATGTAGCTAATCTCAAGTGTCTCTTTTTGATCGTGTGTGTTGTGTTGTGTTATCCTCAGGTGATCCAGACCATCAGCGCCGTGGATAAGGACGAACCTTTGAGCGGCCATCGCTTTTATTTCGCCCTGGCTGCTCCTGTTGCCGGCAACCTCAACTTCACCCTGCGGGACAACAAAGGTAAACAACCCTCATGTTCATTCCTCGACATTATCCTTGAACGACCTTCTCTTGTAGTTATAAATGATTTACCGCAGTTAAAATGTGTTTGTTTCTTTCGATCTGGGAGAAAAATCCAGATGAAATGTAATGATGAAATGTTCAAATCCAAGGGCTTTCCTTTACAGGACTTTGAAAAACTGGTCATTAAAAGATAAATTTATTACGGGGTACAAAGGGAAAACATTTGAAAACTCCACAGTCCTCATATTTCCATTAGACAATTTTTAATCAAATTTAAACTTGTTTCTGCACAAAATGATGACTGTGGGTTTTGCGGCTTATTGCTTTTATTGCACCGCTTCAGAAAGGTCAATATATGGGCGCCGGTGGCATAGTGGTTGGTGTGCGTGGTGGGCGTGATGTAACAGGTTGTCAGGAGGCTTAAAAACCCGCCTCAGCTCCAGCCCTCAGTCTGTCGTTAGGTTGACTGAACGTTAGGGTGACAGAAAAAGGTTTGAGAGCCACTGCATTAACCCACTTTGTGCAGTTGCTTAATAAAAAAAAAAGTCCCCTGAGAAACCTGCCAGTTTATCTCAGAGTCTGTTGAAGGTGTCGGTCAGGTTAGGTACAGTCTATTTGCTGCTGACTTGCCTCAGATTGAGCCTTGCAGCGGTGCAATTGACACGTTTGGCTATTGCTCACTCCAGCTCTCTGGACACAATCTACACTGCAATCTGACTCAGGAGGAGAGTTAGAGAGTATCTGCAGCACCCCTCCGGCGTGCCCGGCTGCGCCAAATGAAACCATAATTCTGCCATGACAATGCCCTCACTACCCTTTTTTAAAAATAATTGTTCATCAAAACTGAATGCAAAAACAAACTTTCTGCTGCAACTGGAGCACATCTTTAATAACTCAGTTTGTTCCACAAAGCCACAACCTTGTTTTTCAAAAGGTCTCTGTGTAGTCGATCGCAGAATAAGTTAACCTTAAAGACTGAAATGCCTTTGTATCATTATGATTTACTCACCACCTACACGCAGTGAAGTGGTCGAAAGGATAAAATTAGCTCTCCTAAAGGAAAACTGAAATGTTCGTTTAAATTCAGCTTTAAAGACACATGAGGATTGGGCCTGACTCCATCATCAGTTACTTACCTGGAATCCCGCTGCTTTAAAAACATGCACCGAGCTGCTCGCTCTCCGAGGTAATGCCCTTTGTTGAGTGTTTTGTTCACACGTGTGGGAGCTCAGCTCAGGCTGCCATGTTACATTTCAGAGGAAGCAGCCAGGTTGTGCAGGAGTAATAAGAGTGAGTGCAGACCTGTGTTGCATGATGAACTGCATGTTTGGTACAGCCTCTTAGAAGATTAAGAGCAGCTTCACAGGAAGATGGTTTATAGCCTATTTTTAAGAAAGGCTCTCTGCACACATACAGTGTTTACCCGGCTTTAAATATGTTGATTATGTATACACTTTATCCTAACGTGAATATCATATATTTTAGCACACATTGCATTATCTTTCATCGTGTGAGGCAGTAATATGACATAATCCTTTTGATCAGTGGTTCCCAACCTTTTTTCTTTGAAGCCCCCTTACTCCTATCAAAGAAAAGCTGAGCCCCCCAAGGTCCCACACCAAAAAAAAGTGCAAGACTTACATCGCTGTCAAACATTCATATATATCATTTACCAGTCAAATAGCATTTCAGTTGAATATATCATTGTATTACACTAGTAGTTCTCTGGCTGTTATCACCAGAGGGGGCTGTATGGATTACAAAAAGCGTTATCACCCTACAGAGTGTCAAGCGGTGATGTATGTACATGCGCATTACTTTCCAGTTGATTGATGTGTCTTCATTATATATCTTTTCCAATAGTGTTTGAAAACTGCATTTTAGGGATCAGCAAAATAAATGTGTGTCTATCCATATCTATCTCTCTCTAAAGATCAAAGATCGATCTCAGAAAGATATCGGCCAATATATCGGCATCGGCCCCAAAAATCACAATTCGGTCGGGCCCTAATATAAACCATCCAGTAAGTGTGTTGTCATGATTATAGTTCATTTGTGGAGATCTGAATTGACAGTCTCAAAGCAGACAAAGCTTCATGGCCCGCTGAGCATTTGAGCTTCGAAACCTTGAGCGTGATGTCATAGGAAAATGGCTGCTGTATGAATTCTGTACTGACAGGACCTGAACACTGGTAGAGGACACACCACACACCTGCCCATCACCACATCTTCCACTCCCGTGTTTTCCCTTTGCAACATAAATGGCACCGCTTTGCCTCATATTCTTAATGCAATCTCTTTGGATACTTGGCCTACTCCGGTTTTAACACAACAACGTCCTCAAGCACAAAGCCACCTCCAGAAGGAAATGATTTTTCCTGTTTGCCTTGGGACATTTTTACTGACCTTAGCCCTGACCTCACCCACATCTATATTGGAACCAGGAAGTTGAGCCTTATCGGCCAACATAAGTGAACTCACAAATGTTTAGCAAATCCTTGCGGTCAGGTCCACTGTGTTGTGGGAAGCCTAAAACCAGAAGGCCTTTAAAGCAGCCTTGGGTTTTGGGATAAATTATTCAACAATCATGTGAGGGCAGCGTGCGGTGCCTACATACTTTTCCCATGCAGCTTAATGCCTTAAAGCGTCTTTTCCCTTTTTTTTCCAGCCTGGCTGCATGCAGAAAATATTCATGACAAAATGTGCCTCATTTAGCAACACAACGTCTTCATCCAACTATGTAACAGCTTTATTTTCAACTCATGACAGTTGTGACAAACCAGTATGTGTTTGTTTCAGCAGCGGGCATATTTTGCTGATTTGACTGATGTGGCATTTACAAGAGAAGCTATCTCTATCCTCATTTATTACTTTGTTCTAAGTAAAAGCAAAGCAAAGCGTAATCTTAATATCGCTCTTAAAAAAAATAAAAGACGTTGTCCTTCAAGAGGAAATCTACATTTCAATTGACTGCTCAGTTTGAAAGCCTCTTTGAATCTATTGAAACACTTGTCATGATGAAGCTTTTTTTAGCTGCTGTAATGGCATATTGCTCTCCTCTGTCTGCCTCCTTCTCTCGATTGTACTCCCAGACTTCATATAAGATTTAACCATCAAACTGAAGCTGTTATTAGCCAACAGGTGGTCAAGATCAGGGAGAGACGCCACAGTGTGTCATGTAATGAATTGTGTTAATGACACCATCTGTTGGCATTCCTGCTTTTAACACTGTAAAATCATTTTAAACTGCACAGCCACAGCATGGTGATCGTTACAGGATGGAACTTTAGACGCCTGCAAGTCGACTATATGCAGATCATTGTTGATCAGGTTTACTCATGTTTCACCCTCTTCCCTCTGCTTTCCAGACAACACGGCGTCCATTTTGACAAAACGAGGCGGTTTCAGGCGAGGAGAGCAGCCTGTGTACCGGCTGCCCGTGTTGATTGTGGACAGTGGAAGTCCGGCCCTCAGCAGCACAAACACACTGTCGGTGCGTGTGTGCGACTGTGACTCCGACGGCGTGGCCTTGTCTTGTGGAGCTGTGGCTTACATCGCGACCGGCCTGAGCACCGGTGCCCTCCTGGCTATTTTGGGCTGCATCATCACACTCCTGGGTAAGAATTCTACAACCTCAGTGTCACGGACAAGTCACTCCAAGTAAGAAGTACAGAAAAGGTCGATATGAAGCTGAAGATGATCATTATAGCAGAGGTCATTTTCTTGCAGCAACTCACTTGCAGTTTCTTTGGGTTTGTTTACAACTTTTCCTATCATGGTATTTCCTTTTTTTTACTAGCATCGACCATGCTGCTCTTTTGAATGCAGCTCAGTTAACGAGTCAAAGTAATTTTCACCTCGTGAAATCAGATATTTTTCTTTATTTACTGTGCCATTTGGCTGTTTTAGTTTAGTTCTCGAGTTGTTACAAGTTCCTCGGTTAAGTTCATTTCATTTCATTTCAAACCTTTATTTAAGCCTGGAAAATCAATGAGGTTTCCCTCATTTACAGAGATGTCGAATTAAACAAATAAAACAACACAGACAGGGTGATTCTCAGTGAAAACAATCATACACCGTGAAACAAGAGTGTCAACATTGAGAGATGATTTTGTAACCTTCAAATTACCACGTAATTTGAAGGTTACAAGGGTTAATGACGTTTCTTGTTTAATTTCCAAACAGAAGCAGGTTTATATTCAAACAGGAAGTAAAGTAACCTCATCTTGAAATAGTAGAAACATTCAAAATAAAAGCCATTTATCCATTTATCGATCCATCCATTCAAATGTCCTTCCATCTGTCCATCGGTCCACTGAACATCCATCCATCCATCCATTTATCCATCCATCATTTCTCTGTCCTTCTATTGGTCCGTCAGTCCACTGAAAATCCCTCCATCCATCCTTCTTTCCAACCATTCAAACGTCCTTTCATTCGTCCATTGGTCCACTGTACATCCGTCCATTTATTCATCCATCCATCTGCCCATCCATCCTGTAAGGATAAATCTCATAGGGAAAAAATAATCTCAGATATGAAAATATTAAATAAAAAAATCGATTTTCATACCATTTTCCTTTTGAGTAAGATTTTAGAAAAACGTACACAACCTCCACCTCTACTCTTTCTGTTTTTTTTGCAAACTAAAAGTCTTTGGCAGAACATCAGCAGATGAAACACCTTTAGCATGTTGTCAATTTAGAAATGTCTGATTGAACCACCTTTGTTTGTTAAGTTGCTGAGGGAATACATCGCAGCTTTACAACCTCAGCGGATCAGATGTGAGTTCAGATTTAAGTGGATATAATGTAAGTCTACAGCGCTGTGCTGCTGAACACTACTAGCCTCAGTGTTTACTACCCATCTCCAAGTTATCCCTGCTATTATGCATTCTCCAGGCAGTCGAATGTTTGAGAGGAGCTTTTGCTAAAACACAGCTACTTGTTGAGGTCTTGCACATGTCAAACCTGGGGGGAGTTTTCTTCCCCACATATTTCCTCTTCGGTAAAATACATGTGACCTAGGTCAGCCGGCTCTGAATAGCAGCCTGGATGTTTACTGAATTCCTGCCAACAGGATCAATTAAGTAGAGTTGGTGTACAGGGTTTTGGGGGAACTTTTGGAGTATTTTTATTTAGCCTGAGTGTTTAGCTGGACCCGCCAGGTGCTGAAATGTACTCTGTGTTTTATTTTATTCATTTTTTGCTGAACTGAGTTGAGAAATGATGGAATATGTGGACACCCAAGGCTGCAAACTTGACATTATTTCTCATATTTATTTTTTTATTTTTTGTCCAAAATTGGGGAAATATAGAAGAAGGAGATTATATGTCTGAAAAACGCACTGGACCTTATGACATGACTGCATATTCAACATATAATCACAGTGTTTTTAACATGATTAAAGCTCTTTCTAGGTTTTTGTTAAGCTAGAAATGAAGAAGACTGAAAAGAATATTGAAGTCTCTTCCCTACAGCAGCAAAGAAGACCATCAGAAAGTACATTGATTATTTTCATCTGGTTATTTTATGTGCCCTTCAGCCCTGCTGCGGGGTGGGTGTCACTCAATGAATGAAACAGACGATTTATACTTTTTCCAAGCCACGGATAATGTAATGTATGTAAATTGCATATTAGACATTTTTGTCATAAAAAGCCACTTTTATTATTTACAAAATCAGCAACGAATTTGAGGTCACCAAAATTGACACAACCCAAAAGTTCCTCACAGGAGCTTTAAGTATAGATATATTCACATTGAATATTCACATTGAATTGTTTGAGACACCAATATTGTTGATTTGATTACTTTTAGAGGTGCTTGTACTTTATTTTTTAAGTCTCCAGAAGCTTCTTAAGCCTTATTTTCACAGGTATTATTATGTGTGGTTTATTTTACAGTGCCTCTCCTGAATTATAGCACACGATATTGAAAAATAAAATGTAATAATGTGCAGTTTCTTCGAAAGAGCTCTTTGCCTGCAGGCAGTCTGAGTCAGTGATGTGGTTTCAATCTTTTGATCATCCTTCTCTATAAAGAAGGCCTCGTGATGGCTTCCCCTGGATATGTTTCAGTGTATTTTCTAAACTTAATTATCATATATCTCATGAAGGTCATACGGATAAGCACTGTAGGAAGATCTGTATTTCAAGGACAGGCGCTCTGTTGTCTAATGCAACACCATATGTTAAGATGTTAGTAAAGGTGCTTGTAACTGAGAATTCATTAACATAACCTTAAAAATATTACAGCTCCAAGCCATCACCTCCTGCCTGCATTATTGCTCATAAAACCCACAGACAAAGAGTGATCAAATCCGGGCCGAGTGGTGGTTTAACGCTCAGGTGATCTTCAGTGAAAGCAGAGGAGGATCAAAACAGCACATACAATAACTGAAATAAGGTCTTTGATAGGGTCAGACTTTGCTTTTCATTTCAGTCCCCTTGAAGTTTTTCCTTCTTTCATTGCAACAGAGAATTATTTTCGTGTGATAAATGAAAACTTCAAAAGAGCAACAGGGGGAAATACGTGGCCGCACAAGCCTGAACTCGGCATGGCTAATGAAAGCTGGGTCTATTCTGCACAGCGTGGCCTCAGGCCACAGGCTTAGAACTAATGGCCTCCGGTTTAATATACCTCCAAGATGTCTCTGTGTTTGTGCGCGTGTGAGTGTGTGTCCTAAGCTGTCTCCATCAGTCTGTTTGCCGCCTCAATTGGATCATCCTCATTCCTTCTTTTCTCTGTTACCTCTTTCTGCATACCCCCCCCCCCCCGAACCTTATTCTTCTTCTTGTATTAACAGCCCTTGCCCGACCACTCAGTCCAATCCTTTATTCTGATCTTCCTTGATGGCCTTCCATCAAGACCTCTTTCAATCTCCTAGGTAGCAATCGAGGCTGTGATTGCGTTTGATTGCATTGTTTCCGATGAGACACGAGTCAGAAAAAGCCCTCGGAGCCGCGTCTCGCCGCTGTCATCCTCAGGTGCTGTCACTCCTGAATCTGCTTCTTTTTTTTTTTTTTTCTGCCCTCCATCAATCTCATTCTTTCTCATCAGGCGAGAGGAGAAAAGCTCGCACCAGAACACACAGATTCTAGTTATCGGTCGTTTTTTAGCGGAATGTAATAACATCGATGCGTGTTGCAGGTGGAGAGCCCTCAGGGCACCGCTCCTCCTCGTCCTCCTCCTCGTCCTCCTCTCTGGATTCATCAAATGTGTGTGAGAAACTTCAATCCCAACATGATGCATATGTGCAGTTCCACCTGGCTGCCTTTAAAGCACACAGAGCTGAATGCACATTACCTTTGTCTCCACGTGCTCATAAGCTAAGTGCTCATTAATCATAGGTTGATATTTTTAGATTTAATTACCGAGCTTGTCCTCTACTCCTAGCCGTAATACTCCTGAAAGAGCCCGAACGCAGTTATGTTTTTGAGTAAATGTCACATAAAACCTTTTTCTAATGATACAGTCACTTTCGGATGATACGACCAAACTACTGAGACGATCATTATCTTGTTAAGATCCCCAGTCTTTTTTTTCCCTCCAGTCCAGGTCAGGTACGGCTCAATCCTCCAGAGGCCCAATTAGTACATTACGTAGCGCTCCAACTCTCCAGACAGTTATTTCTGTCTGTGTGCGCCTTATCAGACTCATTCTATAAATCTTCATGTCCATTCATCTGTCTCTTAATTTTCTGTCTGTCTCCTGTTTTAGCCCACTGTCTGCGTCTCTATTTATGTGTCTGTGTTCAGACAGCACACAATTTCATCTTCAGATTTCATCTTTAAGCTCCACTGCGCGCCGAATCGCTGCGTCACAATTGTGTGTCTCATCTGTTTAATTGTTTGCTTTCACTCGTTGACACGCTAATAATGAAAGAAGAAAAAGAAAAGAAAGTCTGCTCTTTGTTGACTGGGCAAGTCAATTAAAAGCTGATTTGTTTTTTATGTTTTTTGTAAAGAAAGCCTGGCAAGCGTTAAAGCAAGCTTTTGTAAAGGAGGTTGAAATACCAGTTTGTAAGAGGATGTGTGGAACAAAAGTTATCTTAATCACGCAGAAAATATAAAGCAGGGCTGTTAAGAGAACGTTTTGCCGATTTAGCCACTGACATGAATGTCTGTCTGATTCTGATTGTTTCAGTATCCTTTATCAAGTTGTGTTGCAGAATAGCTTCCCTGCACTAGAGTTCGATCTCTCAATTAAGGAGGAGGCCTGACACATTTTTATTGGTGTTTTCACACATGCACAAAAGTCTTGAAAATGTCCTCGGATTTGTGTGCATATGCTGCATGTTTGAACCCAAACAGCAGGATTTTTCATCCTGACCTTACCTGGGATTTTTCCTGCCAGCACCTTAGGAACATTTTTGCATGAAGTAGGGTGAGCTGAAGGAAATACTCAGGGAAATTCACTGCAAGCGACGGGGTGATGACGTTTATATCCTGGGACTGCAGGCGCAATATTTGTGCACATGTTAAGCTATGTCATACTCCTCTCTGCTTGCCAGTTTGTCCTTTTTCCACCCGTTTGTTGATACTTTCAGTGTGTGGTACTGGCTGTTGCTCAGTTGGTAGAGTCGGTCGACTCGAAACCAGAAGGTAGAGGGTTTGATCCTAAGCTCATGCAGCCTCATGTTAGATGTGTCCTTGGGCAAGACACTTAACCCAAAGTTGCTCCTGCTATACTGATGGTGACTTTACATAGCAGCCTCTGCCATCAGTGTGTGAATGTGTATGTGTGACATGTGGTGTAAAAGCACTTTGAGCAGTCAGAAGACTAGAAAAGCACTATACAAGCTCAAGTCCATTTACCTTGTCCAAATACTAAAAACTTTCATGTCCCGGTTCCAGGTCCACAAATGTTAGCATTTTCTATGTAACCTTCATATTGCCAACATATGCATCATGTTAAACTGAACTGTAAGAGTCAGTACATGAGAGTTGTGGTAAGTTAGACTGAATCCCTGAGGTTTCTTCACATTACAAAACAACAAACAGAAATTTAAAGCGCTTGTGTACTTTACTAAGCTCTTACATTTCTCAGACCCAAAAATGAGATGATTGGGAATTCAAAATTGGAGCATTAATTACACATGACAGTAATCATTTTTAAAGCCCTTGTAGCTAAAAAAAACAATCAATTGTTTGATGTTGTGAAATATTGAAGTGCTTTCAGAATATTGGAATCAAGTTCAAACTTGACTTTGAGTGCTTTAAAAATCAAGCCTGACATTTGGTTAACAATGTGATGAGGAAGAAGAAGAAAACAAAATACGAAAATATCTCTGTGGTAGTCTGTTAACTCACAATAACAGTGTGTTTATTTTTCATAGATGTGATGATTTGGATGAGGTTAAGTGATAAAAACAAATGAAAATTCAGACTGACTGAAATGTGAACACACACCGCCGCCTGTGGTTTCTCACCATGAGCTTCTAGGAGTTATTAGTCGGATGCAATGAATGTTGTGGGTTTGGTTTCTGTGGCCTCACCAACTTTGAACATCATATTTTTAGTTATACAAACATTTAAAACATATTTTGTTTGTCATTTTGTCAAAGGTGCATGGGAAAAGACGAAAGGAGTCAGAATACACACATTATTCATTACAGCCGAGTACAAAGTGTTTCCAATGTTGCTGAAAATGATTTCAAAACTCCTACAAATCCCATACACTTTATGTTAAAGTACTTTGTCTGGGTTGTGTACAACTCGGCCATGAAAATTAACCCTTTCTGTTTCAATATGTCCAACACATTCTGAACAGCTGCTGAATTAATCTCCCGTCAAATCGAGTGTCTCAGCAGAATCGAAGCTGTGGCAGCAGATAAAGAGTTTGAACAGCCTCACAGGAACAATTTACTTTATACTTTATCCTTCCTTTTTTGAATGTGATGAAATGTGACTCTAATTCCAAATACATTAATATCATGTGGTGGAAATCTGCATGTCAATGGAGTTCAGCTGTTATTGTTGTGATGGAAAGCAAAGCAGCTTAATTTTTATATCACATTTCATACACTGACGTAATTCAAAGTGCTTTAGAGAGTCATAAAACCAGATACAAGACCCTGAAAGAAAGTTAAAAAGGGGATTACAATTTATTTCATTATACAAAAGTGCACTGTAACCTGACAAATGTTATGAGTCATTTCTCTAAATCTTGATTGGTCCATGTATTTGACATCCCATTTGAGTGACTAAGTCCCGCCCCCTTCAAACCTGTTTCATAACCCCAGAGAAGGACACAAAAACACAAACCAGTCAAAACCAAAACCACATAATAATGTCCAGAACTTTTCATATTTTTTTCGAAGACACTTAGTGAGAAAATAGGTTTCCAAAGTGCGTTACAAAAGAGTCCAACAAATGAACTTCCTCACATAATTAGTATTAAAAGACAAACCTTCCATCTCTGAGGGTGATACAGTCGCTGATTCGTACATCTCATAGAGCTTTCACTGCAGCACCGACACAGAGGAAGTGTGTGTGGGTGCAAAAAAACAAAAGTGAATCAGTCCCAGGTTCACCAGAATCACGGAGCACATGGAAAGAAAAAGAAAAGTCGAGTGAGAAAGTGCACTCATTGATGCATGCTGGTAAGAAAAGGGCAGCGCCGAAAACTCACCTTGTTTGTTATCGATTGTGCAGTGTGGATCATTTAAACAACCCAATTACTGCGAAAGCTTTTGTTTCACTAAATTGATCTCTGTTTTTCGTTCAGTGTACATCATCACCAAGTGTGTTATGAAGACTCCTGTAGAACTGTGTGTGTGTGTGTGTGTGTGTGTGTGTGTGTGTGTGTGTGTGTGTGTGTGTGTGTGTGTGTGTGTGTGTGTGTGTTTGCTAAATTGTCTGAGCTGGAAATCATTTCTTAAAGGACCCTTGGTACCTGAACTAAAACGTAACTTTGTATGCGCGACCATCCACCTGCTCATCCTAGTCAGACGTGGTTGGATGTAGGCCAGCTTCCAGTCTGTGACGCATCATGCCTGCCTTCTAGGCTTTAAACCCTAAAGAGCTTTGCTGGAGAGCACTGAGAATATTATATTTCAATGTGCAGCTTTGTTATTCACTTACTGAATCGAATAGAATTCAGAATGAGTTCCCAAAATCAGAGGAAACAATAGTCCACAGAAATGTTTGTTGTTCCGCATGAAGCCCAAAAAAAAAAGTGTCATGGATGTTAGCTGTGGGTAAAAGACCAGAAGGGGCCTTTCTAAGAAAAAAAAAAAAAACTGTAAAAGTGCGGCTGTTGTAGGGTATCAGCAGTCAGCAAATGGCCAACCAAGAGCTGCCCATTCATCTCTTTCAGCCTTTCATGTGACACTTTCCTCCCTTCCATCTCTTCCATTTACTCCCTTATTAGAGGGTGTGAAGTGGTGTTTGAATTTGGTTCCTGGGCCTCTTACTCTGCTGCCTGCAGTATCTCGACTCCGAGAGGGGAAAAGAAATATGGGTCCATGGAACGATATTTCACTGGCACCGGCTTGACATTGATGGATAGAGGATCATTAGACATTTGCCAGTTTGCTTGGGTGTGGAGTTATTTTCAGCAATAATGTATGGGAGAGGGAGCAGGGGCTGGAGCAGGGCTTCTGGTAAGATCTCACAGGGGCCAAAGACTTTAGTTTGGTGGAGTTTTGTGCAGGTCTTGAAGCAGAATGGAGGTAGATGAAACCACAGCGGGAGCCAATTTATTACATTCCAGGTCTAGTTTTGTAAACACTGATTGCATTTACAGCGCAGGGCTTCAAAACCTTTTTTTGCAAACTATTTAATCAATCAATCAATCATTCAATCTTTATTTGTAAAATGAAGGACATGGTTTTTGAGGAGCTTTAAATACTTGTACAATAACCAAACGTGATAGACATGAGCACATGGAAGAATTTAAAACTTTGGTGTGGGTTTTTGTTAGGGGGGTCCACGGAAAAACAATATTTTAACTATTTCTTTCTCCAATACTTTACATTTTTTATACAGTTTGAATCCAGTTTTTAGATAACAATTTTAACTCTAATTTTTTGCTTTTCATCCATTACTTTGTGCCGATAATTTTAGCTTTTTATCCCTCACCTGTAGCTACAGTTTTTAACTGTTTATCAGAATATTTTAGCTAGCTGTGCTACAGAGCTTTTTATCCGTTACTTTTAGGTCAAAATGTGATATTGCTTTTAGCTTATCGTTAACAAATTAAATTCTTTAGTCGTTATTAATGGCAGACTATCCCGTCTTTTCAGCTGACTGGCACAGAAAATATGCACCTTGTTAGTCAGGACTAACACAAACATCTCTCCCTCTCTCTGCAGTGATGGTTCTGCTAATTGTGACGATGCGTCGGCGGAAGAAGGAGCCCCTGATCCTGGAGGAGGAGAGGGACATCAGAGAGAACATTGTGCGTTATGATGACGAGGGCGGGGGAGAGGAGGACACAGAGGCCTTCGACATGGTCACCCTGCGTAACCTAAACGTCATCAGGGACCCCAACGTGCGGCGAGATGTCACACCTGATACTCCCACCTTCTTTCATTACCCATCAACTACTCGCCCAGCCTACAAATCCCTGCCGGACAACGTGGTGTTTCGAGAGTTTATTTGGGAGCGTCTTAAGGACGCCGATGTGGACCCGTCTGCTCCCCCATACGACTCTCTGCAGACGTATGCTTTTGAAGGCAGCGGCTCTGTAGCAGACTCTCTAAGCTCATTGGAGTCACTAAGTACAGATTCAGATCAGAACTACGACTATCTGAGCAACTGGGGACCACGCTTCAAAAAGCTGGCCGACCTCTACGGGAACAGCGACAGCGCCGGTGTCTTCTCATAGCCCCTCGATGTCTCTCAACATTTCTTGGACTTGGCAAAAAAAATAAAAATACAAGTAATTTATTGTCAGAGAAAATGATTTTGTCTACCTTGGCGCATTGGAGGAAAGGATTCAAAGACAACACAAGAGAGATTGAGAGAAAAACGCTTTGACTTCAAAGGTTTAGGGTTTGTTTACCTCCTTGTATGGATTTTCAAAAGCGTGCCATGGTGAGTTTTGACATCAAAAGTGACTCGACGGAGGAGGAAACCTTGTGTGCAAAAGACATTAAAGGTTTCCGAGTTTGGGGTCCAGCCCAACCATTGACTGCAGAATGCATACATGTTGGAGCATTTCTACGGGGAGGAACGTGTCCTTTCATTCCAGCGATGGGCACGGGCCCAGCACCCTTTGCTTTGATGCATTCCTTTGCTATCTTTGTGCTAAAAAAAAACAAAAAAAAACGTTTCACATGAAATGCTGTGTCCCTGGCGGCTAATCAGTAGTCACTTGACTGTTCAATATGAATTTGACAACATGAAATCTATGGATTTTTTCTTTCTTTCTTCCTTTTTTTTTAGGGATGGTTGTGGAGCAGGTTGGTGAGATGTTTTTTCATAAACATTTAAACACAGAGGCACATTATTCATGGACTCTGTCATACCTCGCAACACTATATGAGAAGTGCAACTGCACACATACAGTATAAACTAGTAGTTGATGTGCTAAGGAAGTGATGTTGTGCAAATAATAAAAAATAAAGAATGACACTCAGTCAGTTTGATGTCTCCACTGGGCGAAACAGGATTGATATCATTTCTCTAATTCTCCTAACAATACATTTTGCAGATGTTGCAATGTAGTGTTTGTCTGAGTCTGTTTTTTCTTCCGCCTTTCTATTTTCCAACTCCGATGTTTCTTTTTCTGAGCTATTCCGTTGTTCTGCTTTTGTATGATGCAAGGGGGCTGGAAAAGTCCGCTTGTTGTTTTTGATAGCGAGATTCACGCAAACTAGACCCAAGAAAATCGTTTTTGGTCTGAGAGGTGAAGTTGCAGTTTTGTCAAGTAAATGAAATTTGCTTCTGTAGTTTGCAGAGTCCAGCATATATTGTCATTCAAACATGAAGTCAATGATGTCCATGGTTTTGTTTATTGATGGTAAAGGACACACTGTATGATAATATTCATGCGCCGCATTGTGCCCACTTTGTTTCTCCAGCTTAAAAAAAAGTTCTGTTATGATTGGGTGTCGACATGTACAGCCGATATGTATTATTATTATTATTTATTTTGAAGGCGCAGAATTGTGCAAATGATGTTTTTATCCTTTTTTGCTGAAAAAATAAAATTGACATTCGGTTCTGTAAAAGACTGAGGGGATTTCTTTCAGTCAATCTGAGCATAAACAAGTGAGTTAATAAATGGAGATTCTTTCTGATGATGGTCTAGAAGCAGCATCTAACAACAATAATCAATAATTTTCAAAAAATGATGCTTCACTATGTGCATTTGGGGAGCTTGAGGAAACAGAGAGGGGGTTCGGGGGGAGGAGGGGGAAAGATTTCTTCTTCATATCTTTTTTTTTTGATGAGGCTTTTGTAGTTGAAAGGCCTGATGGAGACGGAGCACAGACGCTCCACAGAGGCGTGTGTGATGACTGAGAGGCTTACCATCGGCTATCTGAGGAGACTTTTGCGAGTTCACCAGGCCTGCCTCTCATGCAGTTAAAAGGAACTTCATTGAAGGTGTGTTCAAATACTGCGCCCAATGTGACGATGAAAGAGACACATATATATCGGGCATGTTATCTTTGAAAAACCCACTTTTCATTTGATCAAGTTAAGAACTTTGGCCACTTCCAGGATTAACTATATGTGAAGATATTTTTCATGTATCACCAAAAAGGTCAATGAGAACATGTTCATGTGACAATATTGTCTCTGAAAATACAAACTGTTACTCATGTTATTAATTCCCCTAAATCCAATTCCAACACCCAACACATTTTTTATATATCTGTGTCTTAACAGTTCTGACACCAACAGATATTTTTGCCAGTTGGATAATATTGTCTGTAAACTTTGACTGAATACAGGATAGGAAATGACGTTTAAAGTGCTGTTTTCAGCCACATATTCAGAACAATGTCTAAAAAGAATTAAACAGCTTACCATATATATCATACATCAACTTTATCTTAAAAACATTAACTCTTTTATATGTCACTGAAAAGGAGCTTCTGATGACGCAAAAATCTGCATTTTGCGTCATCAGAAGGTGTTGCGGTTAGCGGGGTGAAACTACAACGCTAGTTCCTCATATTTTCGACCACTGAAGCTACAGAACAATCACAGATCAGTGGGTAGGAACTCACTCCCATGATCGAAGCTTAACGTCCGCCATATTGCTTGGAAGCTATGTTAACAGGCTCTATGGAGAAAGCTGATAATGGCGAAAAAATATAAATATAGCGGCGAGGCGGCTGCTGCTGACAGGCCGTTCTTGTGTTTTGGCTGTTGTGGCCGCAGCCGAGACATAAGGCCTGCCTGTCGGCAGCGGTGAGGATGAGGAGCCTGGGCCGGCTCAAGCTGGGGCGGACTGGTAGTGTTGGTGCTCTCACTGTTTGCCTATGGACACAGACATAGAGTCTGAATTTCCAAGATCAATTCAGGAAGAAATCACGGAACCTGTTGAGGAAATGGCCTTATGTGTTGAAGTAAATATCTCTGTGAATGTTTTTATTACTATATTTCCACTGCTATTGTATATTTTGGAGAAACTGTAACGATCGAATTTCCCTCTGGGATTAATAAAGTATTTCTGATTCTGATTCGGACCTTAGTGGGAGTGGCCTGCGGTACTGTGCATTCTGGGATTTGGTGTCTTTCATCCACATGAGCCAAAAAGACACTTTCTGTCTTTTCTCGGCCAAGAAGGCACCAACTTCAAAGTTTATTTCACATTTCTAGAACATATAGGACCCAATGTCAATACAGATTCATGTTTCAACCGGTGAAGTATCCCTTTAATTTCATACAGCACCAGACACAGCTGACTATGTTTGACAAAACTACATCTTTAACTAACCTCCTAAAGCAAGAGATTAAGAAAGTTGAATACCATGGGTCCAAATTCCAACAGTACAACAACCCTGACTCCTTCATTTTGTAAACCAGAAAACCAAAATGCTCCAAAATTGAAAAGTTTTTTTTGTGTGTGTATGTTTGACTTATTAAATGAAGCATTATTTTGCATGGACACGCTTGGGCATATTTCTTCAAAGTAAACTGATATACAAAAAACAATTTTTCTTGGTTCCCCAGGTTCAACTGTTGAAAAAAACGAGAGATGAGGTGAGAGGTGTTTGGCATTACAAATCGGGAGAAGATAAGGAAAATAAGTAACTATCAAGTCCTTTTCTTGGTTGCATTTTGAATCAGAATGAGCCATGACCTGCCCGGGCTGGTGTGTATTATGTGTTGACTTCATAAGTGTTGATCAGCATTTCTGCTAGAAATCTCAACATTTACAATTTTAAATAATCTGCAAGAATTTGACATGCAAAAACATATGAACCAAATTCAGAATCCAAAGTCACTGTAATATTTTTTTTTATTTGTATCTATACTGTCATCAGTATCTCCTGAGCAGAGTATCCAACTGTATCTCACTTGAGGACTCACAACAATCTGGAGTTCAAAAGTAGTGACTAGCGTCTCTGAGCTGTCGCTGCGTCTCGACAGCACTCAGAGCTGCATGAATACAACTGACAGTATAATTCACAGTGATGCAAGAGATTGCAATGAACTTATTATGAATCTTCACTCTGTAAATATGTCGTCTCCTTACAGGTATTGACATAGTTTCCAAAAGCTTTGAACCTTGCAAAAACAAAACATCTTAGAATTTTATATTTTTTTTCCAAGTGTGAGAAAGGAGTAACCAAGGTCACTGTGTGGCATCATTGTGATGCAGTTCACACAAACCTATAGAGGAAGAGATGGAGAGTGTTCTTTCTTACATTTTCACAGGTGATAGCCTCTTGCAGAGCTTATTCAAAACCCCAAAGATCACTTGTAAGAGGGAACAGCAAATAGAAGGATTCTTCCCGATGAAAAATGCTTGAAGTGGAATTGGAGCACATTTATAATCATTTGAAGTTCGAACATTCTGTGATTTCTTTTAAACGTTTCCCGAGAGATAGTCAAATGTACAAAAACACCTTCAAACCAGAAAGACGGATCAAATTACAAAGAGCAAAATACACCTTTATGTATTTAGAATGAAACTGCCGAAAAAAAAGATGGGGAATCATTCTTCCTCATACCAGTTAGATGAATTAGTATGGATTACACTGCACACAGTGCAATGTTTGTTTCTACAACCTTCCTTTGTCTGGCATGAGAAACAGTATAGCTTATGTTGGCTTTTTTAAGGGGAATAAAACTTTCATTGAGACAAAGAAATGCTGACTAAACTAAAACAGAGGTTTTCTAGTGCCAAGGACTGAGAGTAAATAATTATGAAATAGTATTGATACAATTAGACAAGCAAGGGGATGGAGGCAAAATGAATAGGGTAACAATAACACAATTTTTCAATATAGGCCAAGTTAGAAAATCTTAAATTCTTGCACACTGTTATTAAATATTCAGACACCAACCCAAAGATTGTCTTTTTTCAGAATTAATTGCAATTTTAATTTTTTCAATCTCTCATGGGGGCGATCAGGACAGACAAGGTAAACACTTTATATTAGGGTGCTTGTAATAAGCATTAATAACAGGTAATATGTCACTCATAAGACCTTATTAACACAAATAAGACTATATGTGTTAATATAGGCATAATTAACACATTTATGTCTTATAAGACACTTATTAGAAATGTACTGACACTTTATATACCGTCATAAAATGTTTATTAACATTAAGACTTCATGAGTGTTAATTAAACTATACATTGTTGAAACTTGTTTATAGACCACTTATCAATGTTCATAAAATGTTTATTGACATTAATAAGACTTTATTAGGTTCATATTAATGCCTTATAAAGGTTAATAAATACTTTATTATGCACATGAAATTCCACTCTTCTTTGGTACAAGCACCATTGGGTTACACCACTAGCTCTTTGAAGTCTTGATGATCCCGAGGGAAGGCATCAGGTTAACCTCCCTCATCAGTGAGGCCAGCAGGCGCTCAGGGATCCTGTAAGTTAATCTTCTCACAGAAGCACCTTCTCTAACAACAATGTCATGTTCAACAATATTTGTTCTCCCAGGATTCTCTTGGAAAACATCTGAATTACAGATAGATCTCACCTGAAGCCGTTGGCCTTCTGATTGGTTACTGAGATCATGGTCTACCAGGTCACTAGAGGGGTAGTATTGCTCATCCACTTCTTCATCCAGCACACTTCTTATTAGCATCACTTCTGTTTTTCTTTTCTTTCAAGGCACCCACTCTTTTAAGAGATTTGTGTGAAGTACCCTACTGGAGCGCGAGTGCCTTGGTGTCGATACCTGGTACCTGGTTGGCCCAAGTTTCTTTAGGTTTTTTTAACAGTCCTTGCCATTTAACCAACAGTTTGTTAGCACCAGCACTTTCAGTCAAGGGTCGAAGAATCTCTGCCTGGCTGGCTTGTCGTAACAGGACTTCTGTTGCTGCTGAGCATCCGCCACATGCGATTGGGCCAGCTCACCCATTTTCTCCAGCTGCTCTCTCATCTGGATGACATCGGATACAACGTTAACAGATCCCACCCTCCCAGATCTCTCAATAGTGCCAACGACCCCCAAACTTCATGTCTATACAGAAGTTCAAATGGAGAGAAACCAGTGGAGGATTGGGTACTTCCCTGTATGCAAAAAAGGAGGTATGGCAGTCATTGATCCCAGTCTGTGCCAGTGTTGTTTACCAACTTCCGGCGCATCTGTTTCAGGGTCTGGTTAAAGCGCTCTGTTAGCTCATCCGTTTGAGGAACATATGGTGTAGTCCTGAAGCTCCTGATACCCAGTAACTGGTACACCTGTTTCAGCAGAGTAGACATCAAGTTAGTTCCCTGATCAGTTAATATTTCAGGGAAGCCCACCCTTGAAAAGAACTGGCACAAACAGAAACCATGGACAGATTTTAGTAGAAAGACTTCTGGATCCTTGGTAGCAAAGTCTCTTATAACCAGCATATAACGGTTCCCTGCTTTGGTTCTCGCTACAGGACCAAAAATGTCCATCCCAAGGCACTCAAATGGGGTGCCAATAATGGGTAGTGTTTGAAGTGGAGCTCTGGGGGGTGTTTTAGCAGATGTTATTTGGCACCGAGGGCAACATGTCTGCGCAGGCCAGGCCAGTGGAAATGGTTTTTAATGCGAGCTGTGGTTTTGTGGGCCCAGGTGGTCAGCCCAGGGAACCGAGCGCCCCAAGGCAAGTATGGCGTTTCTAGCTGCTTGGGGAACCACTAGCTGCAACGCTGACTCTTGTTGATGAGAGAGACCAAAGACAGCTCAGTTTTCTGCATATCACCTGGAACTTGAAACCCTAGTGGTAACTCTGGCTCAGTGCTGGTTGGTGGTGTCATCACTGTCTTTTGGAATTTCTTGTCTGTCTGCGGGTTTTCCAAGACTTCCCAGGTGTGGTCTCCAACTCCTCACTGAAAAGTAGCTCATTGGATTGCCTGGCCTGCGTTCTGTTTACCACAGCGTTACACTGTCTGCTTTGTTCTGGCTCCAACAAATCAAAAAGAACTGCTAGGTCTCTTTCTAGAACAGCATCAAAAGACAGATTATCAGCAACCCCAATGTTCAAAAGGTAAGTTTGACCATTAACCTTAATGTAGATGTCAGCTGTTGGATAAGGCTTCTCATCTCCATGAACACAACAGATAAGGATGGTGTCACTGCTGCTGACAATGTTGGGTGGTACAAACTTCCTGTGTACCAGTGTCTAATCACTGCCGGAGTCAAGCAAGGCCCTAATGATGGGTCCATTAACTTCAATGTTTTGCATTTTAATATAAAAGTCATTTTTAAGCACATTTGTGTCATCTTAGCCGAGATGGGTTTGTTGAACCTTCTCTGATACAGGCCCCTGACAGATAGCAAACAGTGAGTCAGAGACAAGAGGAACTTACTGAGATGACCAGAAGCAGCAGGAAGGTTTGATAACTCTGATCAAAACAGGATAACCATTTTATCAGCAACAACAATACTCCTATTTGAACCACTGGAGGAGGAGAGACTGGGATCTGCCTGCATCTGAAAAAAAAAAAAAAATACAGCAGTTCCACACTTACAAATTGGCACAGTAGTGTTCACATTGATTGATTGGACTTTGTCAGGAAAAGTCTGAGTCCCTGCAGACCAAAGCCTGGAATTTTCCACATCGCTAGATACATGGAAAGAAATGTCAATCTCAGTGTTTGTAAAGTAGTTAGCACAACTGTCTAGGAAGGTTGTAGAAAGGCAACTCAGCAGATGAAGATTTTCCAAGGTGAGTATTTTTACAGTGATTAAACCAACACGTGTTAACTTAACAAAACAACAAAAGTTCAATGTAAATAAGGCAACTTACTTCATGATTAAATCAGACCAAGAAACATGTTAAAGGCAGCACGTCCTCACCTCTCCTCATGCAAGAGCACACGTCTCCTGGCTTTATAGATGGCCCCATTAACAAAATGGCCGCAGCTGGGTGCAGCACAACTCAAGTAGTGGGTTTACACTTTTCCCTTAAAGCAAAGAAATCTACATAAACCCTTAAATTAACCTCAGATCATTTACTCAACTAAATTAACTTTAAATAATTAAATTACATTCTACCAGTAACTCAAACATGAAAGAAATTATTAGAAAGAAAACATTTCTCAGAAATAAAACCCCTTCAAAATGGTCTGCTCCAGTGATGTCAGCGATGACATCATCAATCTGATAAATACCCAGGAAGGGCTGGGCTATCCCCCTTTAACTGCATGGAACCACATGGGAAACTGAACAAAAGAACTAACAGAGGTAAGTATGGATAAGACAATCAATTATATTTTGCAGTTCCAGAAACTAAATAAAAATGACTGAACAAAGTCAAGACTGTTTGTTTGCTTTAAGTTAATTTATGCTTTGATGTGAACTGTAACTTATTGCTAACACAAACAAACCTGGGATAGTAGTAAGTGCTACAATGTTACACAAACAAAAATAAATTAAAGCTAAATACACAACTGTAATTAATGATGTGATTTGATATTAAATAAAGACTTAAATGACAAGTGGTGATTAAGAGAAGAGCTTCTCACCCACTTTGTCACAATGTTATGTCAAGTTTTCTATGCGCTGATTCAGCTGACTGTAAACTCCCCTAAGAGTTACCACAGGGCTAGGGTTGCAGGAAGAGAGAAACCCTGAGGTCTTACTGGGCGCTGCCATATTTTGTGTCTGTGCTCAGTTCACTCACAGAGTGAAGGATTATCGGGGGATCTGCTGGCTAAACATTTTGTTTCTCAGAGAGTATTACAAACAATTCACAGCTATATCTATTTTTTCTGTCTTTAGTAAATCTACAGACACTGAGGACGGCATAACAAAGCATATGAACGCCAGCATCCTCCTGGTGATAAAAGATGAGGTCGTCCTGGAGCATCAGATCAAGCAGCATGACTATTGGTAGCATATGGTAACGATAAACTTTATTGATCCCTCATGGGGGAAATTTCTGCATTGTAGCTATGCTCATGGGTCTGCTGTATGCAATTAACATTGACTACCAAAAGGAAGTACAATGTACATTTTAAGTCACACAGAAGAACCTATTGAATATCGGTGGTGACCACTGCCCCCTTCAAGGGTCCATGGACTGAGAAAGAGTTTTCTGAAAGCTTCCAAGAAATATTTGGACATTGTCTCACAGATCTTTTTTTGAAATGTTTGTGTTACCACAGTAAGATCACGTCATTAAATGTGTAAATTACCTGATTTTATACATTTATTGCATCTGAAAATACTGAGAAAAGTGACCGATAAATGATAAATGCAGCAAAAGGAGGACAACTGATTTTTTGCACATTCTTTGGTGGAAATGGTTTTACCAACAAGTGGTAAAAACATTTCTAAATGTTTAGATTTGCTATTTGATCTGATCTGCTATCAAAGGTTGAAGAACTAAAGTTGATTGGTTTCTATGATAAAACGAATAACCTGTAGAGATTATACCTTTTTTTTAATTTGTATTTGAAAGGAAGTTGAAACTTTCCACAAAAGCGAAGAGAATCACTAAAAATGTATACGCTGAACTGATTTAAGTTGACAAAAATATAAATAAATATATATATATATATATATATATTCAATTTATATTGATCAATTCATTTAACTCAATATTTTAGATGGATTCAACTTTTGATAAAGTATTTTAACTTTGGATTTCAAGTCAAAAGAAATTCAAAGAACATTTTACCTCAACTAGATAACAAGATAATTTCACCGGAACTGAATTGTGTTCAAAAGTTTTGTGAACTTAAAGATTTAAGTACAACTGACTTGATGTCAAGTTTATTTGACTATAGAACATTTTATTTCTTTGGAATACTCACAAATTTATCTCAACTTATCTTTTTTAAGTGACTTAACATTTTAAGGCAACCCAGACACTAACTTTTTTAAGTCATAACTAGTTGTTTTTTTTACAGTGCTGTTTTATCTTTCCCAGTCCTTGTGATCAAAATCTGTAGATCGCCTTTATCTTGCTGTGAACTTCTCATGCTGCAGAAAATGAAGTGTTCTACATTTCAACTGATTGTGTTTGAAGATGCACTCCAAGGTCTGTCCTTTTGTATTTTTCCTGTCAGCCCAAGAAAAGGGAGTGTTTTACTCACTGCATTTGTTAACTGTGCTTCAAGTTGTTGGAATGGCCCTTTTTAAGGATGGACTGCAGATTGTATTTAGAAGTGTTTCCGCTGGAGTGGAGAACGGCGAATGTTAAACAAAAAGTCAAACTTGCCTGAATAAATAAATTATTCCTCCTGCTCGGATAAAATTAGTTTTGTTTGTGCAAACATCGCGACAGCTAGTTTAGTTCAGTGATAGCAGCAGGAAACTTTCTTCTGCACCTTTGGACCTCCGTTCATAGGAAAGAAGCTGAAAATAACTGTGCAAAGGGGTTTGTCATCCTTTAAGATAGAGGTATATAGCTATCCGCTGAAACTGTCCAGTAAACAGGGATGCTGGGTAGAGCTGTGAGTCAGCCAACTTTACCATTTAACACTTTGGTTTAAGGAATTTCTATCTTTTAAAGATGTGTCGACCAAACCATGACACCAAAAAAAAGGCCTGAGTCAGTGGCTATACTGCAATCTGGCCTAATGCTGCGCTTTGACCTGAAAGTAAACAACAGGACAGTGGAAGAAGGGCATTCGATAGCGCTACGCAGTTTGGCAGTAGTTTGATCTATAAAATGGAGAAAAAGGTGTGGCCACATTTAGCACAGGCATGAATACTTTAACCTGTAAGGAGGACTGAAGGCTGTTGTTAGCGATGCTAACATTAGCCACACTCTTCCCTCACTTGGTTCGGACCACGTTCTCACAGGGCGAACCGAACTCTGGTGCACTTGGAAGTTCCCCGTTTTCAAGTACATAATTCGGTTCTTTTGTCAATACCAGGGTTAAAAACAACTATGCTTTTTCCCTGAATTTGATCAGATATGTTGGTAGCTATGACACACCAAATGTTTTCATAATGTTGTTTACAGTTAACCTTAAGATAATACTTGTATTTGTAGTAGCATTTTTTTTCTCCAAAAACTGTTTGAGTGGAAGTTCAACAGACCTCCTTTTTGTTTCTGCGTTTACTTGAAAGTTGGACCCTGTTCCCACTGAGCTGTTAATAAGTGCATAATAAAGTATTTATTAATCTTTATAAGTAGTGTTCCCACTTTAGATCCACTACCTGCAGAGGAGCTTTATTAACTCTTAAGTGCATAATAAAGTATTTATTAACCTTTATAAGGCATTAATATGAACCTAATAAAGTCTTATCAATGTCAATAAACATCTTATGAACGTTGATAAGTGGTCTATAAACAAGTTTCTTTGTGTTAATTAATATCTTACAAGCCAATTATACATTAATTTATAGTTTAATTAACACTCATGAAGACTTATTAATGTTCATAAACATCTTATTAATGTTTATGATGGTATATAAAGTGTTAGTACGTATCTAATAAGAGCCTATAAGTGTCTCATAAGACATAATAAATGTGTCAATTATGCCTATATTAACACTTAAATAGTCTTATTTGTGTTAATAAGACTCTAATAAGGGCCTATAAGTGATTTATAAGTGACTTATTACCTGTTATTAATGCTTTTTACAAGCACCTTAATATAAAGTGTTAACCAGACAAGTTAGGAACTGCAAGTTTAAAGCCACATTTTTAAGGAATTCAGTTTGGTGCGCTTTGGCGCCCACCGAAGGTCTCTAGGAGCAACTGCATCCTGCATCATAAACACACAGAATAAGGTCATAGCCAGCTCGGTGTTGGAGTGCAGCATACTGTTTAACAAAGCTCTCACCAACAGGTCTAATAATTACTCTTGCTCGGTTATATCTCTGTCCTCTTCAGCCATCTTATCACACAGTACAGAGACAGGCTAACTAGCTTCTAATTAAGCCGTAGGCAGGTTTGTGAACTAGTGCCGTGAAACCGTACACACTTGTCACAAGAGAACTGCAGCCCGCTCCCAAAGTTACATAGTGCTGAAAACAGGTCCCCAGAGTGCTTGGTGGAAACGGGATGGACGCCATTCTCCCTGTTCAAAGTTATTGTACTGTACTTTGAAACTACTACAGTGCTGAATAGTTACATATTGTTGCTTTAAATACAATCACATCATTTGCATAACTGTTGATGTCTAACTGATTATGTCATGACATTTATAACTCTCAAAATGTTCCCCCGATTCCCATATTAAACCAAATCTATTATTGAGTTTTAAAATCTTAGCATTTAAGCTAATGGTAGCCTTATGGGGGATAGTACTGGGATCGACTTGCGGGCAACAAGTCTTTTCTGCAAAGATAGTGTCTCCTTTGAGAACATGTACACTTGTTGTGCTAAGACTACACTTGTGTTATCTCACACAGTGTTTTAGCATTTTTGCTTAATATTTGTGGCAGCCTGTTTTGCATCTTGCCATCATCCCATTACATCAGCATCTGCTAAGTAAAACTAACATATCCTCAGTGTAAGACTTGTATTTACAAATGTGTTAAACTCCAGTGGAATTCTCTTCTGTTTCTGTCAAAACCATTTTGTTTTCTTGGTTTTATGAAAAAGAAAGTCTTGCAAACAAAGCAGACTTTTGCAATATAACACAATGATACTGGTGGTAGATATTAATTTAATCAAAGCAGATAGAAAGCAGCCCAAACACAGATTTCTGATGTTCACTCCAGCACTGATAACTGCTGATAAAAGATGTTTTTTTTTGATTGACCAGCTGTCAGTCAAAATCAGACGAAAGTATCTTTAATATCTGCCGCCTGGGGGTACTTCAGGGACCCTCTGCTATCAGGGGCTCAATCTGCACCTCGGGTTGATTACTCATGTTGGCCCTGTTGCCTTCAG